CAAATGCAATGTACTCATGAATAAGTGTGCTGTTGTTTTGAATATCACTTTTTGGCCTTAGGGTCGAGGTCAAAGAATCCAAAGCACCAAGCTGGAATGGAGATTATGAGCGGAGCGACAGGTATTTCCTGCAGTTTTAAAGAGTGAGTGAGATCTGAAAGTGTTTTTGCAGTGTCTGGACTTTCTTCAGCTGAAGTGACAGTAGAAGACCTTGAAGCAGCTGGCGTCCACCTCAGTACCTCCCCTCACTGATTACAGCACACCTTTGACAGCCAGAACATTTGTCAGGGCCGCCCACTGCACTGCCCTCTCTGCACTTCCTGCTGCAGCCCACATGCATGCTCCTCACTTTGGACACACATGCACAGTATTTCTCCAAATGATATTTCGTCTTCTTAGACTCAATGCAGTCGTGTGTGGCTTGGGAGTTTGAGTGATTGGACGGTATCTGTTCACTCGGCTTTGCATAGTCTTGTTTAGATGATGATTTGGACTACATGGAAAAGTATTAACAAATACAGTTCAGTGGAAAATTTAATAAAACATACACTACTGTTCAATGTATATTAAATATATATTATTGTTGTTATAATGTTTTTTAATAACATTCTGGTCACACTTTATTTTAAGTATGAAATAAAGTGCAATTCTCGCCATTAACAAACCATTAACTACGACTTTTGCCTCAAACTCATTTAGGTATTGGGTAGGATTAGAGATGTAGAATATCGTCATGCAGAATAAATCAAAAATCATTACAAGCACCGACAGCGAGAGACTGTTTAGTACTGCATTGCATGTCTTCGATGAGAAGAGGAAGGGTGGTTGTTGCTGGTTTACTGTATGATGATTAAAATTGCGAAATGCCCTTAAACAATTAAATAAACTGCAGAATGTTATGTTTTCTAATACACGCAGGAATTGCATGTGTTCAAACAGCGCTGCACGAGCTCGCGGCGGTAGGGTTCAAAGTCCAAAGCGCGAGGGAATCTGCGCTGAAACTGTGTTACTCGTCAGCTGCTCAGTAACATTTTTATGAATTTTTACAAGGCATGTGACAATGCGATACGTGCAACAAACGTCTTCCCAAATTCGTAATGAGAATAATTTGTCAACAAAAAGAAGCACTGAGGTCTTCCTGCGCGTTTCTGCCAAAATAAAAGTTGAGAAAAAGCAAGAACTCCGTCAACATTAATAAATGTTATTATTGTAATTTTACTGTTGCTCTGTAAAATAAAAGAAAAAACGAAAATAATAATGAAAATAATAGTTACAACAGCTCTATTAAAACATTTATTGTAACATTTACACATAGTGTTCAGACTAGGAACTATAATATTTTCTAATGTTTTAAAAGAAGTCTCTTCTGCTCAGCAAGGCTGCATTTATTTGTAAGTCAAAAATACATGCCTGATTCAAGAAGGGGGTCTAAAAAATGGCCAAAAAATATTATTTTACTAACTTATTAATTTTAAGTTAAGTTGTGTTATATTGGTATAATGTCTGCTAGAATGCTAAAAAATGTTCAGTGTTAAGTAAAAAAATGTAAATTGTTGTTTTGTAAATGATTTTTTTCTTTGAAAAGCAAGACAAAACAGTAAAAAGCACATTTTAGCTATTTAATTTATGCAATGGTGAAAAAATTGGCAAAATGGGGGAAAAAACGTGAAAAACCGTGTTCGGTATCCGGCCTTCGCCCAGTGTTTCATTTTGTTCGGCTTCGGCCAAGAATTTTCATTTCGGTGCATCCCTAGTCCCTATACTAAAGTGTTACCAATATTCTTATAATCAGCACTCATTGATTTGGTGCTCAAGAAATAGTTTAATGTTGGAAAGAGTTGTACTACATTTTTACAACAAAAAAAAATCTGAACTTCCCATTAAAGCTTTCCATGCAAGTTTGAAGGTCCTTGGCAGTCTGAAAATCTGTTGTAGACTTCCTTGTTTTTATCAGCAGAGGAGTTCGAGTCAAGTTATTTTTATTTGTATAGTGCTTTTTGCATTTTGTTCTGTGATCCATGTTGTGTGACAGCAGCTGAGGCAAAGAAGGTTTTTGATTAAAGATTATGAAAAAATCTTTTGAATAACACGCACTGATAAACTGTGCACACTAAAGCCAGAGACATTTAATTAAGAAAGGAAATAGGGTAAATTTGTATTATTTTGCCTTTTAATCACATTCACATGGCAAATAAGTAAGGGGGAAAACTCTTCAACTCTGTCAGCCCCTTTCCTCTCTCTAAGCAGGCCTCAGACTGATTAATAATGCAATTGTTTTTTAGATGTGTGCGGTGTGTGTATGTATGTGTTCATGAGAGCGATGAAGCTTGGGCTCCAGTGATGGCATTTTGTCTATTTTGTTCTGCTGAATTTATGCACGGTTTCCTCAGAGAGGGAGAGTGAGCTCCTCTCCCCACACCCTCTTTCGACTTCTTCTCTTTTCATTCCCTGTCCATTCCTCCCCTATTCTGCAGCAGCTCTGGTTATCTTTTATAGGTTTTTTATCTTCATCTCTGCAAACTTATGCTGCTGGAATTCAGCACGTCTACAGTCCTTTGTTGGAGAAGGTTGCCTTTTCTCTGACGATGGGCCACAAACAAAATTAAGTTGAAAAACCATGCACAGTATCCTTGGTGTATGGTTTTGCAGATGCATCACAATTTACAACAACAAAGTACTTTCCACATGCCCCGCAAAGTATGAGATCAGAGTGTCAGAATCTGAAATTAAAAACATTTGAAAGCGCAACTGAGCACTATTGAAGATTTACCTGAGCTCTAAATCTGATGAAGATTTAGAAAATATCTAGATTAGCAACAGCCTGGGATAGATTTGAGCTACTGAATGAAAGATTATAATAATTTTATTTGAATAGCTTGAATATGGTAGTAGTGTGATATCTATGTATGCATGAATTTAGCGCAACAAACCGACTCTATTTGGAAACTATTGAGTATATTTATTTATTCTGTCTTCGAGAAGTTGCAGTCATTAGCATTTGCAAATCAGGCCATGCTCAAAATGTGAAAATCCCAGTGTCTTAATCTGCTGGCATGAAAATTCAACCATCTTTTTAAATGCATGTTATTGCTCTAATTATGAATTATTCATCCATGCATTTTCCATTTTTTTAAAACATTTGTTTTGAACCCTGCAATTTTTAATCAAAATATCATACCTTGATCTTCTGGTGAAACAAGACTAAAGTATGGCGGACTTTCATTTAGTCTGCTTAAACCCTGTACCTTTCTTATAATCAACTGCATTCATGTCTGCCTCCATCTAATCAACAACTAATAGATAAATCTTTTACTCTTTTACTCTTTCGATCATTTCTTTCACTCACAACACGGAAGAAAAGGTCTGTTGCTACTTCTGTTTATCTCGACTTCAATTAGATCAAGCAGCTGTATTTTGTATGTCTTATCGGTTACATAAAAAGTAGCTGCCTGAGATCATTACCAAAATAGCCATCAGGTGAACTGGCTTGTCTTACAGGGACTTTAAAACACTCAAACTAGCCAATCAAAGTTTTGGTGTTCGGTTAAATTACAAATTCAGTTGGAACTAAATTTTACCACAAGGCTCCTGGTCTAATTAATTTTTAAGCATTCAAGTACAACAGCAAAAACATCAAAATAACTTTAAAAGTATCATGATATCACACTATCGAGCAAGAAGTTTCAAACAAATAGTTTGCATTCTTGCAGGGGTCTGTGTGATAAAGCAGACAGAAAGAAAACAAAAAGATAAAATATATATAAAAAAAAGAATTAGGGAAACACATCATAGATGCCAGCTGCTCAATCCACCAGCAGTTTCTTCAAACTTTTGCTTGTCCGCAACCTAAAGAATGCTTCCTTTGCAGACAGTATATTGAGATCGAAAGGCATCAAAGCATGTCTGAATCCAATGTATTCACTGTTGCCTGGTCATTTTTTAATGCCAGCATAGATATATATCCCACCATCCTGTGTGCATGGGAAGACGTGTGCAAGCGTAAATGTGTGCCCTTGAGCAAAGATGGCAGCAAGCATGCTGTATCCTTCCACATGTGCTGTTAAGATGAATAGAGATGCTAACAGACAGCTCTCTCCAGGTATTACACCTCTCTTTGACCCGAGACCAGTTTCCTTAGGAAGTGCCTTCATACAAATCCGCTGTCTATCAATAATCAATTGTGCAGCATGGCAGCTGCTTTCAAACACAGTCTGTAGGCTTTTAATCTCGTCTCCACATCAGTGCAGCTGTTAGTAATTGGCAGTAATAAAGACATTCTAATTGGTCTATGAGGCAGAGAGTGCAAAGGGCAACTACAAAGTGATCAGTTCTTTCATTACCCAGGACACACACAAATAAATCGCTCAAAAATTTCAATCTAAGTAAAGCTTAGCATTTGCCGAAAGTAAAATTTATAATCTGAGAGCATTTGTAGTTATTGCAAAATGTTTCCTACTGTTCCTTTATCTCTTTATTACTTTTTCTCTCCACATGTATCTGGCTGCAACTATCAAATAACTAATATGGGAATTTTAGGCCCTTGACTTGTTCACTTATCATCCACAAAGCACATGGTATTTAAAGTTTACTTTATGAACATGTATTTTATTTTTGTGTTTTGCAGTGAATTGCCATTTAAATGTATTCATTGTTATTTTTCATCACATGAAGGTCATATGAAGGTTTTATCTGTTGCTCTAAAACCCCTGCAGTCTGTGTATAAGCCGTTCTGGGAGTGCATGTCATGTCCTCATGCTGGTTCGGTGTTTTAATATGTGTGACGCATGCTGAAATAATTAAAGTGACAGAAACAACGTCTTCATGAATAATTCAAATGAATAATGTTTTCATGACACTGTTTTTCCCAAAAGTACGTCTAAAATAGCAGTGCAGTACGTGCAGTGGTTTCGACTTCTGTCATTTTCAAATTCACAGTGTTTAGTGAAGGAAGTGTATAATAAAGTGCTGAAATATAATAATGTTTTTTTTTGTTGTTTTAGATGAAGTCAACAGAGGTGGATCAAGGCCTTTTCACAGACAGTTACTGCAAAGTGTGCAGCGCTCAGCTCATCTCAGATTCACAGAGAGTGGCACATTATGAGGTGAGACCTTGAGGTGCTTGTACGTACAAATCTCTCCCTGCCCTTTTGTTTGTTTGATGTTTCTCATTTTAGAAGTTACTATCCAAAATGTACTTATAGGGCAGGGCTGGGACGATAAATCGATGCAGAATCGATTCGTGGATCGATTCTGAGATTTTCAGAATGCATCGCGATTCCTCTGGAATCGATTCTGAGCTTAGATTTTAAAACCAGATGGTGCTCTAATCTAGTTTTTATCCGCACCAGTGTTGCCAGACGTATGATAATTATCGTATTTGTACGATAATTTTGACCTCTGTACGAAAAAAATCCCATAATATACGATAATTACGAAATTTCAGAACGTGTTTTTTTCCAAAGTCAACGTCATCAAAACAAAGCCATGAAATCGGCTCATTACAGATGCTCTAAATGGGTTGGTGCACACCTCAGGAACCTCAACATCTGGCAACACGCAGGATTCTGGTGACAGCGACTCAGAGGTGGAGTTTGGACCTTCCCACAAGGTACGCCTATGGCCCTATGACCTATGAGATGCGGAAAGGCGATTCCTCTGGAATCGATTCTGAGCTTAGATTTTAAAACCAGATGGTGCTCTAATCTAGTTTTTATCCGCACCAGTGTTGCCAGACGTATGATAATTATCGTATTTGTACGATAATTTTGACCTCTGTACGAAAAAAATCCCATAATATACGATAATTACGAAATTTCAGAACGTGTTTTTTTCCAAAGTCAACGTCATCAAAACAAAGCCATGAAATCGGCTCATTACAGACGCTCTACATTGGTGACAGCGACTCAGAGGTGGAGTTTGGACCTTCCCACAAGGTACGCCTATGGCCCTATGATTTCCTCGATGCGGAAAGCACCAGTAGCCCCTCACTGCAGAACAAAGATCCAGGGGGCGGGGTTGGATCCACATCTAGGGGGTGGAGATGGGTGGTTTTAGGGATCAGGGGGTGGAGAAGGGTAGGTTTAGGTATATGTAAAGTGGGAGTAGTTGGATCTGGATCCAACCTCGCCCCCTGGATCTTGTGTTCTGCAGTGAGGACCATCTCGAAAACACAGATGGAATTGCGGAATTTACTGTATAAGTCAACGGAATTTACTGTATAACGTGGAATGTCACGGAATTTGTCAAAGTTTGGATGAATTAATAAAAAATCCCATAATATACGATAATTACGAAATTTCAGAACGTGTTTTTTTCCAAAGTCAACGTCATCAAAACAAAGCCATGAAATCGGCTCATTACAGATGCTCTAAATGGGTTGGTGCACACCTCAGGAACCTCAACATCTGGCAACACGCAGGATTCTGGCTGCTGTTAAAAACTAAGCTCAGAATCAACTCAAGAAAGAATCGCGATGCATTCGGAAAATCTCAGAATCGATGCTGAATCATTTCTCGATTCACGATGCATCGATTTATTTTCCCAGCCCTATTATAGGGAAAACCCCCCTGGAGCAATCAGAGGTTAAGTGTCTTAAAGGACACAGTGGCAACTAGTAAATATACTGTAGCAATAAATATAGCTACTAACCTGCTTTCTAGACATCTTCTACGATTACTCATAAGAGGTTCTGTGTGCATGTCCTCTGATCTGTGTTATGAGGAATACTGTAGCAGCATAGCTGTATTACAGTGTTTCCCTGTGGTCACTGAACGGTGAGTTATATGGCCACTTGTCAACAGAGCTGTAACCTGAACAGGCCCAGATGGGAACATAATGTATTTGCCCAGGCTGGCATGGAGTACAAGAAGAAGGTTGTGTGCTGGTCAGTGTAAAATATTAATTCTGGGTTTGTTTTGTTTGTCTGTGCTGAGTGTGTTACTGGCTGGATTGTCCCATGTGGACTGAGTGATGCAGGCATATTGAGCCTCTTTGTCTCAATGCCCAATCTGCAACCATTCCATGCATTTCAATAGTAGACAGTACGGGACCAGAAAAATTGGCTTCCTGTGGATCCCTAAAAGCTGCTGGTCTTGAACAAATGACCACTTTATTTTTTTTGTCCATCTGAAATGATTTAGTTTGCAAATGTCAATTGATTGCATTGAATCCTAACTTCTGACTGTCATATCAAGCTACGCTCTGGCACAAGAACTCAGTGCTTCAGTTAGTGATGCAACTGAAAATATTCAGCTGAAAAAAAAAAGGTTTTTGATTTGGCTGAAGTATTTTTGGAGGGCTAATCATTGACAGAAACCAGAAACTGTGTTTTTGGCTGTCATCTGCACCAAACATGGATAAGCTACAACAAGTAAACCTGTCAGCATGTGGATATACTTCATCATGACCAAAAGTGAGGCAAGAGCAATGTGTGTGCTTTGTTTGGCTGAAATATTGAAAGGTGGCTCATTGCTGAAATGACACGACTGGTTAATAATCACCTGTGAACAACACCCTGAACAGTTAAATTACCCAAAAATGTTATTTTTGTCTTCAGTTTTTGGCTAAATAAATAATTACATTTTGGTTTTGGTGCATCACTAATTTAGTCTTTTCAGTGGAAAAAGGCTATCTGGTGCATCTGAGGCTGCTGGGTAAATTACTAAAAGCTGCTAAAAAGCTCAAATCTTTTTGCTGATTTTTGCTTAAATTTTGCAAACCTCCACAGGCTCCTAATGTAGAAAGACATACATTTTTGTGGAGAGGAGACCCAGATTTGTGGAAGAGAGTTTTTGTCTCTCGTGCTCTGTCTCACCTCAGACAAACTCCAAAGTGTATCAGATGTAAGCTCAAATATCCACAGACTGTTGATCATAGAAAACATTAGTGATTAAAGTTCAGATTTCACTTTAGATTGAACCCTCACTTTAGAGAGTCACATGTCTTTGTCTTATTAATTAAGCATTTTCTTAGAGTATTTATGAAAGACTTTGAAAAGTGCTATGGGATATACAAAAGAAGTGGACAATCACTGTTTATTTGCAGCTTATCACCCGTGATGCTCAGTTATTTAGCAGCAGCAAAAGAGAAAGTATGTTTGAAAAGAAAAAAAAAAACAGACTGCATGATGAACGGAGTAACAGCATTTATGAAATGTAATATAAACCGTGAACATAAAGGGTCTCAAGTACACTCTAATTGTAATCAATAAACTAAAGCTTAATACAAATCACAAAAACTTTCATTTTATTTACATGGTTCATTTACTAAATTCTGTATTTGGAATCCTAACATAGTTTACTCAATCCTGTCTGGCATTCAGAAGAAACTTCCAATGTGATTTCTTGAACTAATGAGGGGCTTTGTCACAATTTTGGCATTCGATTTAATTTAAAAACAAAATAATTTGTGTTTGCATTGAAAATGCCCCGAAGCTCATTTTATTGGGAAGGGATCTGAACTGTAGAAGCTGTAACATCTACAGAGGCTTTAGCGCTCAGGTCATGGTTTTAGAAATTATGCTGAGGGCACAATTTTTCCTCTGCAATGAGCTTTTAATCCTCACTCCTGAAACATCAAAGACTAAGAGAAAGAAAGTAAAAGACAGATTGGAGGAGAGAGAGAGAGAGAGAAAATCCAGGCATTTGAACTGAACAGTTTAACAGCAGCTGTATTAAAAAGGACATTAATAATGCAGAAAGACAATCATGGACAGGAATAGTACTTCCAGCGTTGGGTTTCATTTTATAGTCCTCAAAGCACTCTATTTATGTGTTCAAGGTTATTCCATACCTTTTCATGTAAGACTGTGAGACTATCACAAGTACAGGTGTGATAAATGTTATTGTTGAGCTCCAAGCAAACATCTTTTTAAAGGGATAGCTCACCCAAAAATGAAAATTCTGTCATTAATAACTCACCCTCATGTCGTTCCAAACCTGTAAGACCTTCGTTCATCTTCAGAACACAAATTAAGATATTTTTGATGCTTGCCGAGAGCTCTCTGATCCTCCATAGACAGCAAGGATCCTTACATGATCAAGGTCCAGAAACGTGGCAAGGACATCGTTAAAATCATTTATGTGACATCAGTGATTCAACCATAATTTTACGAAATTACGAGAATACTTTTTGTGCGCAAAGAAAACAAAAATAATGACTTTTTTCATCAAAATGTATCAAAAATATCTTAATTTGTGTTCCGAAGATGAACGGATGAAATTTACGGGTTTGGAACGACATGAGGGTGAGTAATTAATGACAGAATTTTCATTTTTGGGTGAACTATCCCTTTAATGTTAAATCCAAGCATATTGCTGTGCTGTTATGATTGCTAACACCATGCTTCAAGGTGACTTGCTTTTCTACATTTCCGTTACTGACATCAGTAATGCAGTACCAAAAGCAAACAGAAGTTATCTGGTGTTTTTTAAGCAGTAAGCGAGGTCTGTGGCCTGTGTCTCCTATTGAGTGTAATCTCTCTGGTGCGCTATGCTATTTGATTTCTTTTTGTTGTCCCACTCTCTTTCTATCTGTTTGTGTGACCTTGGCTTATGTGTTTTGTCCATGCAATTCTAATCACAGTTCTCTAATCTTACATATGTATGAGCAGCATAGCGGAGAGCACGAAGACTGCAGGCTTTTATTTACACTTGATATTATCAGTGTTCAAGGACAAACCGCCCTCTCATTGTCCTGGATCCTCCTCTACAAGATTGGAATGGTCCATGCGAGTTTGTTTCTAATGAGACTCCTTATTCTAAGGACTCTTACACTAAGGACTAAAGGACAATAATCACAGGTGAACTTTTCTTGTTTCATGTAACTATAATGCGCATAATGTATTGCTTGGAAGTTGATTGATTCTTTCCTCCAACCTGGCACAAAACTAGACCTGTGCAAATTGTCATGAAATATCAATGTTTAACCTTATTATGTTTAACACATTTTACCATGTTTAATACATTTAGAATTAATGTTAATTGTCCTGTAAAATTAGGACAGAAAATAGGGGAAAAAGTGAATCATTGACATTGACTGCCATTTTTTTTTTGTATGTTTTAGAATTTTTGTAATCTTTTAAATCAGACTTTTGAACATGTGT